TAAATCTTTCCAAAATATCTGTTCAAAGGACAAAACATTGTGACATATCCTATAGTACTTTCTGATTAGACCATTTCTAAAATCTCTTTTCTGGAGGGCAGGGTGTTTTGAGACAAGGTTTCATGTAGCCCCCAGATTAACTTCAAACTCATTATGCAGCTGAGGATGACTTTGAACTCCTGATTCTTCTTCCTCTACCTCCCAAGTGTTAGGACAACAGGGGTACATCATACCCAATACACCTCCCAAAGGTTAGGATAACAGGGGTACACCATACCCAGTTTCATTTCTGAACTCTTTTTTTTTTCATGTGTCTTAGTATATTGCCTGCATGTGTATAAGTGCACCCATGTTGTACAATGCCTGTGGAGGTCTGAAGAGGGCATCGGATCTCCTAGAACTGGAGCTACAGACAGTTGTCAGCCACCATCTGGGTGCTGGAAGTCAAACCTGGGTCCTCTGCAAGAGCAGCCAGTGCTCTTAACCATTGAGACATCTCTTTAGTCCCCACTGCTGACCTCTTAACTGAACAGAATGAAACCATCTCACAGTGATTACTGCTGATTCCCTAAGGTCTGTCTCCAACCTCAACCTCCTCTCTCTTAAACTTCTGACCCATATTCCATAGGATGCCTAATTCACATCATAAACTGAGAATGTACAAAACCAAGCTCCTCCTACTCTCCTGCCAACATGCATGCATTCTGGCCAGAATCCTTGAAGTGAGTCACTCTTGACTTGTTCCTTTTTCCTCATATACCTGTCAAATCCAGAAACCAGTCGTAACAAATATATCTTTTAACATGTCCAGATGCAATCTCTTTATTCCTGTTCCACTCTTACGCCAAGTCACCACCGTGCCATTTAAATAGTTTTGCAGTCAGTCGCTCTGCATTCCCCTTGCCCACTTGCAATTTATTTTCCATACAGCAGCTACCATGCTCCCTTTAGATCAGGTCCCTCCCCTGCTCAAACCCCACAAGATTGACATTTTACTCACAGTGGTCATGTCTTTCAATAACCTCTTACTATCAACACGATCAGCCTGCATCTCACCTAATTTTCTCTGGTCTGTTTCCTCTATTCTATTCCAACCCCATTGACCTCCTTTGAGCAGTGCATCTACAAATATGGTCTGGCCTCAGGGCTTTTGAGTTGGCAGTTGGCTCTGCCAGGGCTGTACTTTCCCCTCCCCTCTTTCAGATAGCTGTTTAAGCAATAGCTAGTAGTGTTTCCTAGGACGATCTTCCAAACAACCTAAAAACACCCAAATCTTTGTCTCAGGTTCTACTTTTAAGGAAACTCAAACTAAGGCAATAAGTTACCTCAGGGGATAGATCACCCTAGCCATGTGAAGCTCAGTATGAGGGAGTGGGGAGAGTATACCAGGGAACAAAGCACACCAGGCAGGGAGTACTAGCAAGTTAGTGGTTTGAATCTCAAGCTGCTTGGTGGTCTCTGACAATTATCCATTTTAGGACTGGAAGTGGGGAACAATTATTCTCCAAATCCTTGATACCCACTGATCATGAGTGCATTGTTCTCAGCAATACTTCCAAGGTATAAGGCAATAGGCAGATTTTCCCAAGGATCCTCAGCAGAAGGCAAGAAACGGAGCGGCTGAGGGGAGATCGTCAAGCCGGTCAGAGCTTGTTCTCACCTCAGTGGCTGACATATAAGGTGAGCTAAGGTGCAAAGATGCTAGGTACTCAATATGATAACTACTAATATTCAGGCTAATGTTTTTAAGATTTATTTATTTTTATGCCGTGCAGGAGTTTTTGCCTGCATTTATGCATATGCACCACATGTACGGCTGGTATCCTTGGAGGCCAGAAGAGGGCATCGGATCCCCTGGAACTGGAGTCATAGATGGCTGTGAGTTTCCATGTGGGTGCTAGGAACTGAACCTGAGTCCTCTGTAAGAGTAGCAAACTCTCTGCCTCTTCCCCAGGCTATTTTAAAAGATACAAGCAGGTAATCTCACCACAGGTGCCAACTTCCAAGACTAATTAAGGCTATCTGATAAAATTTAATGCTGCAGCAAGTAAAACTTTCATTTGGTCTGGGGGTATTTTTGTTCTTTTTATTTTATGTGTATGGGTGGGTATATTGACTACATATAGGTAGGTGCACCCATGTCATGAAATGCCCATGGAGGTCAGAAGAAAATGTAGGATCCCCTGAAACTGTAGTTAAAGACAGTTGTTAGCTGCCATGTGGGTGCTGGGAATCAAACCCGAGGTCTCTGCAAAAACAGCCAGTGCTCTTAACTACTGAGCTATCTCTCCAACCCCTGGAAGTATTTTTTATAACACATATAGAAATGACTATTGTTCTACATGGCAATAAGGCATAGATAGTGAATATCAAATAAAAACCATAGTTACTCTGGGCTTACCAACATAAGAAAAATTTTCGAAGGCTAAAAGTAATAAGGCATAAGGTGAACCAGAGACACAAAGAAAACCCAAGGTTGTGTATGGATGCCCAGTCTTACCATCTCAGCAATCATATCAGCAAAATCTTTCCTTTCCAGAACAAAGGAGTTTATTAGGCCGGATGAACAGGGCTATGTCCTATTTTGTTTGGCAATCAGTATCCTATTGTTCTAGGTCATACCTTGCATATACTAATCCAATTTCTTCTCTTAAGGTGAGTATTGCATCAAATTCTAAAAGGAGCAAAGAGGGCTAAGGGAATAAGAAGAAGATGGGCACAGGAGAGGGAGGGGAAAACTGGGTTCCTAGTGTATCACTACAGGGGGAAGCTAAGGAGAATAAGCAACGAGATTTCAAAGAAAACACCTAGCCTAACATCTCACAAAAAACTCTTCTGAGGGCCCTGAGAAGGCTCCATCCAGACTCAGCTCCAATTTCCCTGTTTCTCTAAGACGGCTATGTGGGGAGATGTCCCAGGACAGCCTCATAAGCCTCATGTACAAAGTATGTACAATTTCCATCACATGCAACCACAGAATACATCGGAGTAGGAACTACGCTGACAGAAGAAATTGAACTGCCAAATAAATAGGCCAGAGAGAAAGTGCCTGGGAGCAGAACAGTAAGGGACTGGAATTCAATCCCCTGGACCAGAGACTGAAAATGGTCCACAGACCGGCTCCAGCCCACAGGTGGGTATCACTGCTGAAGCAATGTTTTAAAACTATTTCAGCCAGCTGGCTTGGTGGTGCACACCTTTAGTCCCAGCACTTGGGAGACAGAAGCAGGTGGATCTCTGTGAGTTCAAGGCCAGCCTGGTCTACAAAGTGAGTTGCTGGGCCTACAGCAAGACCCTGTCTCAAGAAGAAAGAGAGAGAGAGAGAAGGAGAGAGAGAGAGAAGGAGAGAGAGAAAGAAAGAAAGAAAGAAAGAAAGAAAGAAAGAAAGAAAAGAAAGAGGCTATTTCGGCAACTTTTATAAATTAGATTTTTTACATGAAAGTTCAGACTTCTCAATAAATTGAAAAGTTGCCCCCACTGGACTTCATGACAACAAAGAGTTAGATCTAAGTAGTGACTCTGCCTTTAACATGCCCAGGGGTCAAGACCCCATACCCCATCATTAGTTCTCACAGCTCTTGAACTCCTTTATTTTAAAAGACAGAACTACTTCTTGTTTTCTATGTTAAACAAGAAACAGTAACACTGACAAGGGGACTTAACAGGTAAAGGAAACTGCTATCAAGCCTGACAACCTAGTTCAATCCCCAGGCCTCCACGGTGGAAGGAGAGAACTAACTCCTTCCTTGTAAATTGTCCACACACATGCCATGGTATATGTGTACTCACATACATCCACATATATGCACACAAAATATAACAGAAATATTTGAAGATGGAAACAAAGACATCTCATTTTTCTTTTCTTTTTTATGATAGGGTCTCTCTGTAGTCCTAGCTGGTCTGGAACGTACTATGTAGACCAGGGTGACCCTGATTTCACAGAGATCCACCCGCCTCTGCCTCTGCCTCCCGAGGGCTTGGACTAAAGGTGTGTGTCATCATGCCTGGCTTATTTTTCTTTGTGTGTGTGTGTGTGTGTGTGTGTGTGTGTGTGTATGTGCATGTATATATGTGTGTGAGTTCATATATATGTGGGTGCACATGTACAAATGTGTGTGCATGCAGAGGCCAGCAGTCAACCTTAGGGGTAATTGCACAGACCCCATTCACCTTGTCTTTTGACCACTAAGCCCAAGGTATTGGCTTGTTGCTGCCTCTAGAGCACTGAGATTGCAAGTGCACACCATCATACCAGCTTTTTTACATGAGATCTAGGAGCCAAACTCAAGTTCTCATGCTTGTGCAGCAAATACGTCACTGATAGAGCCATATTCATGACCTGACACTCATTTTTTTTTACACTGAGTCTACTTTTTTAATTTCGTCTGTGGCCACTGTGTACATTTGCAATTGACACCTGGAGCTAGATTACAAGGTGGACAGTCATCTCACCACTTTTACAGATACTATATCCCCAGCACCGTTCAGAGTGTCCACAGCAAGCAGTCAATACTGTTGAGTTATGGGGCAGATGACTGACACAGAATGTCTTTTTTAATTTAAAAACTAAGAGGCACCACATGGCTAATAAACTATAAAGTGAACTTTGGCAAACAAATAGATTTGATTTTTATTTTATTTTTGTGAACTAGCCACAACACATTAGATATTAGTCAATATTTAACCTGATATTTTTTTAAAGTAGCATCTGTAACTTCCTGACTTTTATATCAGCTTCTGACCACAGAGTTCTAGTGTATTCTCAACATTCATTTAGTCTTCAGGTGCTATCATCTCAACATTTCTGTAATTTATTGTTATACTATTTTCTGTACCTTCTTATTTACTTAGAAAATAAAATTTAAACTCCTGCTCATGTTTCAGTGACCACTGCCTTTTGATTATAAGATAAAGATATTTCTAAAAAAGCTTGAAATTTAACTTAATCCAATACATCTTCATCTACCAGTATATACAAAAAAGAGTAATTTCATTACCTGGTTGAAGCTCGTTCCTTACTCCCTCTTTAGTATACTGAACTAAACTTGCAGCTAATGGAAAAAGAAAATATCAATTAACAATTGATCCATGTGGTGGCTTGTTCATGTTTATCATTTTATACCTGAAATAAATGAGAGTTCAAAGGAGCTGTGAGTGGAACAGGTCAAGTGCTAGATTCTGTCTTGTCCTTGTGCCCAGCAGATTCTTAATTTTGAACCTAATTTACCTAGAATATATATTTTCTGGAAAATCATTGTTATCACCAAATATTGCAAAATCCAAAGTGCTGAAACTTTAAAGATGTAGCTCTTGACATGTATGCCAATGAGTGTCCAACTCACCTAGCAAAGTTCTCTCACTGTTGACAGAGCAACTGACAGCTTGCAAGTCTTTCTCAAAGGTATACAGATGCTATTAAAACAAACAAAAATGGATTTATATTAAATAACAATTGTATGAACATAAATCCCCATTAAGATTTATACCCAATATTTAGCAGAACACTTTCCTAAAGAACCTCAATGAACTTGTTGATCTCTGCTGAAACATTCTGGATTATTTTTCACAAAAAAGTTTAGTATTTTATGTTACATTTGGGACTGATACATAGCTATGAGGCAGTCATGCATCACGGTTAAGAGCACAGACTTTGGAGCCAAACTAGACCCATGCTCAAGTCCTGACTCTATTATTTGTCAGCTCTGTGACCTTGAACAAATTATCTCACTTCTCTATCCCAGCATAAACAACACAGAACTATAATACCCATCTCATGTTATCGTAAGGACCAAGGAAACACTAGAACAGTATGACCAAAATTTAGTGAAAAAAATATCTTTTGAGGTTATTATGAGGATCAAGAGAGACAATACACATGAAATGCTTAGTACAGTGTGTTCTGTACATACAAAGCACTCAAGTATTAGTATTATAATTAATGAGATTATATTATTATATTAATGAGGTTTTAATCAAGTTACACAATGCACTATAATACCACTAGTTGTGTTAAAGATTGTCACAGATTTATCTTGTATCTTAAGAATCAGCAAAGAAGTCCTCTATCTTTACTTAATCTTTTGTTTTTTATTGTTGTTTGAAATTCCAGCACTTCAGGAGCTGAGGTAGACAGGTCACGAGTTCAAAGTTGTCCTGCGCTATGAAGTAAGCGTCTATCTTAAACAACAATGGGAAAAAAATCAAAAGATTCATTTTTAAAGTATTAAGGAAAATGATAATAGTCATGTAAAGGGAAGATGAAATATAGATATTAAAAACCAAGAACATGTTAGAACTGGATCACTGAAAGTTAGTGAAAAACATTGAGACATCACAAAATAGAGAAAATAAACTTTGAGTTAGTAAGAAAGCACCAAATTTCTGTACGAAGTTTTCCTTTTCTTTAGCTCTTGGCTCTGAGGGATTCTGACTTATAAGTAAGAAGAATCATGAATTATATATTAAGTTTTTAAGATCATATACTTTTAACTATGAAATAACAATGTGCAGTTTTGGTGTTTAAAAGATGCAAATATTGTCCAATAAAAAAATCAAATCTTGCAAGTCTTAGCCAGTCCCAACTCCTTTCTAAGAAAAAGGTTTATAGGGCTGGAGAGATGGCTCAGTGGTTAAGAGCACTGACTGCTCTTGCAGAGGACCTGGGTTCAATTCCCAGCACCCACATGGTGGCTACAAACCGTCTTTAACTCCAGTTCCAGGGAAATCCGAAGCCTTCTTCTGACCTCCATGGCATTGCACAACATGGGTGCACTCACATACATGCAGAAAATACACTCATACACAGAAAATAAAAATAACAAAAATTTTTTGAAAAATGCAGAACTTTGAGCCAGGCATGAAAGGTTTATAATTTTTCTCAGTAGCCTTCAAGATCTTCTAAAGTTACTTCACTAGATGCTATGCCCTTAAAATTTCAGTCTTCTTATAAAAACATAAATGGAATGCATTATCCTATCAAATGATTTTTTCATGTAGCAATGTATTTTGGAGTGCCAGTGTGTGTGTGTGTGTGTGTGTGTGTGTGTGTGTGTGTGTGTGTGTTTATATGTGATGTGCATATGCATGCAGGAGTGCGTGCCTATACATGTGCCTACAGAGGCCAGAGGTCAACACTGAGCATCTTCCTCTATCACGCTCCGCCTTTTTTGGTTCTGGGAAAAGTTCTCTTACTGAATCTGAAGCTCACCGGTTTGACTAACCTGGCTGGCCAGAGAACCCCAGGATCCATCCATCTCTACACCTCCAACACTGGGGTTATAGATGATCGCCACCACGCCTGTCTTTTACATGTGCTGGGGAATCTGAACTCAGGTTCTCCTATTTGTGCAGTAAGCATTTTATAACCTTCTAATACAGTCCCATTTATGGGCTTCTTAATCCTTAGGTAGTTGTATTGTTTTCCAAAGAACTTGTTGATGGGCATTTAATTTAGCTCTGACTCTTAGGTATTAAAATGATCCAATTAACTTGCTTTTATATATACGTTTTTCCAGTGCTAGGGATCAAACTCAGAACCTTCTACATGCTGGGCAAATACTCTAACACTGAGCAATATCCTTAGCCTTCAAATACAACTCTGTGGGCTGATGCATGAATTTCTGGGTTATAATATATACATGTATTTAATTCTTCAACTGTAAGCAACAAAAAATTCCAACAAACTAGTTTATGCAAAAAAAGCAATTACATAGCAATCTTGTATGTAAGTTAGGTTTGGGCTTGAGCAATGACTTACTCTAGAACTGGAAATATCCATTCTTTCAATTTTCTGGGTTCAACATATTTTCAGCCTTCATGCAATAAAGCACCAAATTCCAGTCTCCAAAGTCCAGGCAGTTCTAACCTCACATCACATTTTACCAAAACCAGTGGAAGAAGAGTCCATGTCTCATTAGATACCTGTATCCACCAGCTTATGTAATATTCACTCCCACATGCACTGAGGGTGGGCCAGCAGGAAAGGAAGAGGAGGGAAGAGGCAAAGGAGGCTGAGGGAGAAAAGGTTTAGAACTTGCTATTCATGCATAAGTAATGTGCTGCTTCCTGATTAACCATGTAAGGAGAGGTCAATCATTTGAAACTGCAGAGAGCAAGGTAGAAAAGACCTACTTCTCCCTATTCCTCCCAGTAAATAAAGCTAAAATCCCTAACATCATATATAAAACAAGCCTAAGAAGACTGGGAAGTTGAGAAAAGAAGGCAGAGACTGGATGTGTAGCTCTTGCTTAGCATCCACAACGCCCTAGGTTTGATCTACGGCATCCCAGGGGTATAGGGGAGGCAGGCCCTCTAGGAACCCAGGTTCTGAGGAATGAAACATTGGTGACTTTTTGCATAACATATTCTAGAATGTTCTAGACTTGAAGATAAAGTGAAGAGCACCATAGAAATGGGAACAGATGAAAACACACCCATTCTCTCTAGTTAAAGAAACAGGAAAAGGGAAATTCAGCAAAACGGAAAACTTTCAGGCAATGCTTATCCTACTGTAGCAAAACACTCTGGAGAAAATGCAACCCCACTGCTACCTTTACCAGTGAAGCCTAAGTGGAGTACTAGACTCCCACTCTACCCCAGCAGTTACATGGTACCCTTCCCAGTCCTGCCAGTATTAAATCAGAAAAGACCAGTCAGGAAATCAGGACATTCATCCCTACCTGGTCAAAATGAACCTCTTCCCACCAAGGTATCAGCAAAGCTGTGTAGGAATCCTGATCCAGCATTAAGGAAGTGCCCTCCCTTCGCTCAGTGGAGTGCTGCCAGAAGTGGTTGGATGGAAAGCCAAGCCTTTTACCTTTCTCTAAACCTACCTATCAGTCCCTGAGTGCTTGCTGTGAGGTCGGTGAAAACCAAATCTCACCTCTGCCTAGCAGTAACAAGATACCCTCTCAGCTGGTATCAAAAGAGGCCAAGTAGAAAACTGGATTTTTCACTCCCACCTAGCAGCAGTGAGGTGATGCCTTATTTCTCAACAAGTATATCAAAGGAGACGCTAAAACAGAAGACTGAATAAGATCCAGAGTCATGTGTGGTATTCAGAGTGTCTGACGCATTGCAAATCATGAGTCATGCCAAGAACCAGGAAAATTTCAGCTTGGGTGAGAAAAAAATAAGGGTTTAAGCACCGAGGTGACAAATATTGGAATTCTCTGGCAAAGAGTTTAAGGCAGGCATAATATCTTAAAATCCTTCAGTGATTTCAAATGTACTTGAATGGAAAAAAAAAAAAAAAAGGAAGTCTTAACAAGGAAGCATATAAAGAAAAAAAAATACATGAGAATTTTACAGCTGAAATTTACAATAAGCAATATTTTAAAAATCTCAAATTGACATAAGAACAGAGTAGAAAAATGGAAGAATCTGTGAACTTGGGGTGGGGGAAGTACCTAATCTGAGCAACAGAAAGAAAATAAAAATGAGAGAGAAGAAAAGGAACAGAGCCTCAGAGATCTCTGACTGTAACAAAAGATCAGACATTCATATAATTAGAGTCCACAGAAAGAGAAGATAGATAGGTCAAGCTTTGCTTTTTAAGTATTTGATGAAATAGTGGCTGATGAGTGAATTGTCCCAAACTGGACAAAAGATGACAGATTTCAAGAAGCTGAATGAAAACCCAAACAGGCAAAACCAAAACAAATCCACAGTGACACATCAATTTTCAAAAAATAAAGCACAAAGAAAAACTTTTCAAAAGTGATTCGAGAAAAATGACACCTTACATTTAGGAGAAAAAAAATTTTAAAGGACTGATTTCCCATGAGAAACCATGAAGGCAAGAAAGAAGTAAGACAAGATTTTTTTCAAGACCTGAAAGACAAGATATGTCAGCTTGACATCTATATTTGGCAAAATTACCTTTCAAGAATGAATACATGAAGAAAATTGTCAGGTGAAGGAAAACTATGAGAATATATCATCTGCATAACATACCCTAAAATAACGACTAAAATAAACTGTTAAAAGACCAAGAAAATGATTTGAAAGGAATCAAGAAGTAAGATGGAAAGAGCAAAAATATGGGTCAGACATATTAGATGTTCCTTCTTTCATATTTTCTAAATTATGTTTGACAATAAATATGAAATGTATGTCATCAAATGTCACTCTTGAAAACTGTAGAAAAGCCTAGCGCAGCTCAGTCAGTGATGTAACACTTATATACCGTGTACCAGACCATGAGTTCAATGTCCAGGTCCACAAAATAAGATATAACAAAAATGTAAATAAACAATAAACATTTTTAAAGAGGAGAGAGAGAAAGAGAGAGAGAGAGAGAGAGAGAGAGAGAGAGAGAGAGAGGACTGGAGAGATAGCTCAATAGCTAAGAGTGCTTACTGCTCTTGCAGAGAAACTGGGTTCCAGCACCTACATGGTGGTTCACAACCACCTGTAGCTTGTTCCAGGGGATCTGATGCCCTCCTCTGGCCTCTGAGGGCTGTTACACACATGTGATGCACAGAAATCCACACAGGCACACACAGGCATAAATAAAAAATAAAGGGTGCAGGTTCTGTATTTCACTGGAGCTGGTAAAATATCAAGAGCAGCTCTCTGGGATGATGGTATAGTTCTGTATGTTGACTGCAGTGGTGATTACAGGAAGATACCCATGTGATAAAATGGCATAGAACTATATACTATACTGTACCAACATCAACTTCCAGGTTTTAATATCCCATTATAGTTACATAAGCTGAAACACCTGAAGAAATGAGGTGAAGGGTATATGGGACTTTGCAGTTTTGCCCATTTAATTATGACTAGTAATAATCAGATACATACAGATTAGAGATGCATGTGCCAACATCTCGGTGTTAGTAGCAAAAACAATGAGTCTTTCTGCAAAGAACAATATATTCTAAAATGAAATGGAGATCTTTTTTAAAGGTTAAAAAACTCATTCAATTTTATGTCTTACAGGGTTTATACAGAATTCAATATTGTATAAGTGTATTAATTCAACTGGGAACCTAGAAACTTGCACCTACTTGTGAAAGAGATGTACTCTTGCTCTGGAGTATGTTACTGAATATGTTGAAGAGGTAATAAAATGCTTCTAATTATGTAGGTATTAAAAAATTTTTTTTAATTTACTTCATGTTAAATAGTAGAGGTGATAAACATTACTGGTGAAATCTACCTGATGACTTTATATCCATACTCAGGTATGGATCCGAGTGTAATCAACTGTGACTAGTAATAATCAGATACATAGAGATTAAAGACACATGTGCAAACATCTAAGTGTTAATAGCATTAAAAATGAGTTTTTCATTATGAAATAATATATTTTAAAATGAAATGGAGATCGTTTTTAAAGGTTAAAACCTCATTCAGTTTTATGTCTTATAGG